CCAACTCTATTGAAAAGTCGAAAAAAATGTAATCGACTGCGTAAAATGGACCGGGCCCGGGCGCGACGTACACACACGTTATAATATACGCATCGAGAAGGGAGAGAGCGAGTTTAAATGTATATTAGGCTTCTCTCTCGAGAAGCGCGTGCCCATCTGTCGCTGTTTCCTGCCTCCGCGCGCGATGCGTGAGTCTCGGTTTTCGCTCGACCGTGTAATGTACCTCTAAGTGTCAACTGCAATGATCTTTAATTTCTTCGCTCTTCGTTTTACTCGGGCTCGTTAACTTTGGACGTGAAAATTTTTATTTTTGGCACGTATCGATTTTTGACTGCGGGCCTTGTAAATTTTAATAGACTTATATGGCTAACAGGCCCGTACGTAAACACAGGCTCTCGTTTTTCGACCCGAGAAGCACACTTAAATACGGACGAGTTATGACATTCCAATAATCTGCCGTACGAATTATGATTTATGCTCCGTTTGGAGAATCATCAACAAAAACACAACGCAAGGATATTATGCGGCGGACAGGACCCCGTGCGATGAATAAAAATAACATCTGTTAAAAAGGTATTTTTATAGTATCAGGCGACGAAGGCGGCGTGTGGATCCCGGTAACAACAATAAAAAAAGGACTTTGATGAATAATCGTCGTGATACGCAGGAAAAAAAAAGGCGCGGGCACGTGAAAAATTGATATTGCTTTATCTCGAACGATAATGGTTAACAAATAATGTTATAATCGACGCCGAGGACGAAACGATCATCGAGTTTCGGTCGCGAAATTTTGTTGTGCGTCGGGCGCCTCGTTGCAAGTATAATTTGAAAAATGGACTCGTACGTATAAAAACACGCATAGATGATTATGAAGTCGTTAAGTCAAACCGGTATTAAGTATAATTTTATTTTTTTTTCTTGTATATATGCTCGAAGATGAGTTCGAGATACAGAGACGCTCTTGTGTTCTGCATATCTTTGAAATTTTGAGAACTCACCGACGCGCGCTAATAAGGCAATGATTAAAGACGTAGAATTTAACATCGACACATATATACCGATGTGCGTCTTATCAATTTGGCAAATTAGCCTAAACATAGGTGGCTATTTATTAAAAACAAAACACTTGTATGTTTTACACGGCCGCGGTCGGTAAATGTCTTAATTATATGCACGGACGGGCCATTTTTTCTCCTCTCGTTTCTCTTTTTTTCTTCAAAGTTCCGTTGAAATTTCGTTGGCTTTCGCAAAGCATCAATCTTCGGGGGAAACAAAACCGAAACGTCGGGAATTGTATTGACGCAGGCCTCCGACTGGATTAGGCTTACCTTGCGGTCGAGCCGAACGACAAAATCGGGCAACAGTCGTCGCGTCTACTGCTGGGACACAATCAGGTTAGCTGGTGCGAAATCAAACGCTATAGTGCATCGCGCGCTCGGCAAATGTTTGCTTCTGCCCCGACGGCTTTGGACACGACTCTGTGTCGTAGGGACGCACTAACGATCGGATTTTATTTAGCGAGAATTAAAAGTGGAGATAATGGTTTTATAAATGTTTTTTGTACTTGAGAAGTTCAAAATTTGATAAAGGTTATGATTATGATGAAATATATAAGACGAAAATTAGTCACGGAAACTCTTGTTTCTGATAATAGGATTGTTATTTACTTTCCAGAGTTCTGATAGTGACACAACAAACTTGCTCTAATTTTCAAAAGCAAAAGACTGTTTTGTACTTGTTTCGTAACACTAATTCGAAACATCTTCCTGCTATCGAGAGAAAGTGTTCGTTTACGTAAAGTAAATATAGGTAAAGGCTGTCAAAGTAGATAAAATTCGTGACAAAATGATAAATCGATCGTTGGATTGGATGCGTAAATATAGTGCACAACTGCGTGCAATCGTTACATTACATGTGTTGACGAGACCATGCGAACAGGTCGAAGGACACGAATACATAAATTACGCACGTATACATCACGGTGGGTATACAAGTGTTCACATACCAATCATAACATATTAATAAACCTCTTATGAGGCATTAATGTATTCAAAAACGTCAAAATCCGTAATATGTACGAGGTTTTGAGCCTTCGATTCTCCCGCAAACTCGGATCATCCATAACGAATCCTTTCTTCCGGTTAATATTTGATACTCGCGAACTTTTTCTTTTTTTTCGATATTATATACATATTAAGCCTACGCCGTGGAAAGGTTACTGATTTGTATAGTTTCTTCGAATTATTATCCTCGTCGCGATCTTGTCCTACTCAAGTGTAAAAGATTTGCTGTACATTAATTTTTTTACGCGTAAATATCTAACAACAGTTAGATGAACGAATAATCGATGATGAATGTAACTCGTGTAATCGAGTCATTTTCAAACGTTTGAAAAATTGATGAATTTTATCCATTCCTTTGCTCTACTTTACGTTACTTTTCGGAGGAACAATGGAAGTTTAGCTTCAAAGTACGAGTTTGGATGTAATTTTATAAAACGCTTAAACTAACAGTATGTAAAATATCATTTTTATTCTGCTTATTTCAAGAACCGTACTGGTACGGATGCACAGTATAATAAGCATATACGAGTTGTTGGTTACTTGTAGAACTTACATACACGTACCGCATCTGGATTTACACCAAACTCTACATCAAGCAGTAATGTATCTATCTCGCTCAAGCAGAGAAAATACCATTACGTGTAAAGTTGGGATTATATTCCAAAAAATATACAGATATTTAGTTTTGATAAAAAAATGTAATTAGTGCAAACTTTTGCGAGAGAGATGGAGATTTTTCGTTGATCCACGTTACCTATTCAAAATAACTTGGGAGTTTGCTACTAAAATTCGCTAAAATAAAACGAAAAAAAAATTGCTGCACGATCCATTATTCAAGATCATTTTCGACAAGGCGCGCATAGGTCGCTCGTCACCGCATTTACTGTAAACACAGCACTTACCTTTAAATATCTGTATCACGGCTGACATCGGGTGGGGTGCATAGAGAGAGAGAGAGAGAGAGTGCGCAAAGTACACACGTACATCCCAGGCAAGCATATAACGTAGTCCTCTCCAAGGGCTTCACCGTACAACGTAATGCATCATCGTCTAGGTGGAAAGGCCAACCCAAAAAAAAAAAAGAAGAGGAGATGGAAAAGAGAAATAAAAGACACGGGTCTGGCTTGACAAGCAGAAGCGACATCCCCATAATTTTTTGGCCACGCTGGTAGAGAGAGGTATATCATATACCACCGCGTCGACGTCAGCGTTATTTCTTTTTTTCTGTATACACTTTTTCGGGTTGCTTTTTCGCCGTCATCGTCGTTGCGCTCTTGCACTAATGAAGGTGTCGTAAGTCGTGTGTGCTCTGCAACACAAAACATACACGCGCAAACGCATTTTACATATTATTATCATCACACCGCGCGTATACGTATTTGTGTGAGTAAATGCGAGCTAGCAAGGGACACGAGGACGAACCAAAAACGATTATTATGCGCTACTCTCGAGGTTTCTGATTTCTCTCGTTCTCTTTTGCCTCATCTTTTTCTTGTTTGTTGTGCGCGAGTGGGTTGAAAACATATTCAACCGATGCGTAAGACGAGTATATCATGCACATATACACGTGCGTACATTTTCGTTGAATCCTTTAACGGTATAAAGTTACTTTTTTTCGGAATATTGCGAGATTTCGTTTTCAGTTCTGTTTTTTTTTTTTTGCAAAGAGCTCGAAAATTATTCGCATCCCAATCGCGAAACGTCAAAGATTTAGCCTTGCGATGACGCGTACGTAATCCCCGAAATTCGTCAAAACTGCCATATACATATTCATCTATACGTACATACGCACTAACTGTCAGTTGAACTTGGCGTATGTATGTTATATGTGTAGGCTCGGGATTGATGTGTCTCTTTAGAATATTGGCCTATATATCGCGTACACAGTGCGTATTATGATGTGCGCGATATACATAAACCGCGCGTATACACACAGAAAACCGCGTTAAACGTATATAACCAATCCTATATTAGAGGCGACATGCAGCTAATCGGCTTATACAGACACTCAAATGTACCGTTACGCGCCTATTTTTGCGTTCGACGTTTGCCCTCCCCCTTCCCGCCGAAATTGGACATTGATTTTTTTTTCACAGCCTCGAATACACGCCGTTCTAACCCCGACGTTATTATCCATTAATTTCGAATGATGGATCGTTGAACTCCGGAGTCGTCGATCGTCATCTGTATATGACACGAGCTACACAAAACGTTATAGCGTTTGTATCGAGCCGTTGGCAATGAAGAAGGAAAACAACAAACCTGACGCGACGTCTCTGTCCCTATATGTAACGTAAAAGATCATCGTCCTCTGCATATTGGCGCCACGCATAAGCAAACGCACAATAGAACAAGTATATAAAGATGAGAGGCGATCGACTGCTGCATATCGCGCAGGAAAATGATACAGATATAGTTATATAATTCTAAAGTAGACATGTGCGCTGCCGTAGCCCGCTTTATACACTCTGTTTTTATATATCTTCTTTTGGCGCGCACGCGCCTTGACATAATACGGTGTATGCACTGCTGGTGCAGCAGCAGCAGCAGCAGCAGCGCAGCATCTCTCCCCAGCAGCAGCAGCAGCAGCGGCAGCGACGGCAGCGGCGGTGGCAGCAGCGCAGAGTGTTCGGCACGCGCCGCACACGGACGATAGGTATAAACTATAAACTGCAAAGGTATAACTATAGATATATTTGCGCACGGTATAAGCCGCTATAGGTAGACTCCGAAGTTGGCAACGGGGAAGGGAGAGGCGCGCGCGACTACTGCTGCTGCTGCTGTGTAGCAGCCACCTATACTACGCAGCTATATCTATACTGTGCGTGCGCGAATGTGTTGTACGGTGGCGGCGGCGGCAGCGGCATGTAACCCGCGCGCGAAACTCGGCGGTTCAACCGGACAGTCAGTCGGCACGCAGCCGTCGTGTGGCAAACGTCGCCCCCTACGTCACGTACACCGTAACACACACGCACACACGCGTATTATACCGTGTATATTTAAACGCATGTAATAACTGCCGAGAGTCATCTCGCGCGCGCGACAAGACGTTTGTTTGTATACACACAAACACTGCAACGGTGTTGTCCCGCGAGTAAGTAAACAGTGTCGCGTCGTTTTTCCAATTATTCTTCGGTCGTCAATTATTTTTTGTGTGAATTTTGTTTTTTTCTGTTGGATGCTGTCCTCGCCTCTCCAAGAGTAAAATCGAGAGGAAGTTTGAGAGACGGCACACCGTGCACTGGGTGTGTCTCGCAAGCCGAGTTGTCGTTGTGCTTTCGTTAACAATTTTTTCGGTCCTAGCTGACAGTGACAGACTGTGCATCGTTGACATCAATGACACAGTTCTCCGGTGCTTGCGCGCGTGTGTGTTTCTGTGCAGCTTCTTGTGCAGCTCTGAATAATTGATAAATATAGCCCGGCTACCGGCACGACTACTCACAGTGTGCGTGTGCATACGCATAAAACACAGTCGGAGCAGTAGAGTCGAGTGATAAAGAGCCAGTTCTATTCGTCCTGTGTCGCGGCGGCTATATGCAACAGTGTGTTTATCATTACATGTGTGGTATTACAGTAACAGTGCAGTGATACGGTTGCAGTAAATCGCACACGTATATATACGTATATACGTATGTATCGTTCGCAAGTGGATAATAGGCAGCCAGTGTGTCGAGGCACGTATTTAGCAGCGGCGGCGCAGCATCACGTCTTGCACACGAGAGTGCATTGTGCCCAGCGCTTGGACCAACAGTAGCCTCCCGTGTTGTAACGTACGACGATTTCGAACGCAGAAATTATAAAGAGAGACAAGTAAGTTCGACTTATGGATGTTAATTTATGTATGTGCCGTGTGCGCCAATACATATTAGACTCATTAAGACGTTATTTGAGCTCGTGGTATTATAACAGGCACACGAATCGTTGGTGAGGTCAGCGAATGTCTCGACTTGATATTTCAAACGCGGCTCACGTGCTTTTATTTCGGAACGGGTCAGTTCGGTAGTCGGCGAGACGACGGCCGGCGCTGATAACATTCAACTTCTAATGCCGCGTGCTCTCGTCGTCTCAAAAACGTCTTTGTCCGCGCCTCGTTCATATATGTGAATACTCGTTTTTTTATTCTGCCACTCGTTTTTCTCACCATCTCGTTTATCTTCTCGCGTCCGCGCGCAAAAGTTCCACGAGTCCGTTGATAGTTTCGTTCTACTTGTTGTGCGTGCATACGCAGCATTGCTACATGCACTCGCGTTAACAGAATTTGGACCATTGTGGTGAAAACGTTGCATACATCGCGTAATACGTCATTTACTTGTACTCCAGTTGGATCATGTACGCGATACAGACGCATAAATACACGCAACGATTTAGACGCAGGGATAAAGTTTATTCGCTCGTGCGTGTATATAACGTATTTAAAGCGTCAGACGTCTAGATGCAGTTGTGTGTGTGAATATGGACGCGAATGTGTGTTATACGTGTGTGGTTTGTCAGTTCTAATTCCCATGTATATTTCTGACAGTTTTGCATTAAGAAGCAGCATTGAACTCGCTCATTCACTCTCTCTATATATCTCGACGTCGTTGTTGTTGTCGCTGCTGCTTCTGCTGCTGCTTCGGTGTGCATTAGTTGACAATCGTCGTTATTTAATATCCTGACGGCTCGGTTATACATATCTACGCTACCGCTGCCACCACCGCACCGCATATAATATACCTAATGCTCGCTGGGGCGAACGGCTTCTTTCGATTATTTACATACATAAATAATATTTCATATATATATCGTATATACACGTGCAACCACTACGTAGTTGACGAGAGAGGGAAATAATAATAAACAAGCAGTCGCTCATTAAGTCCGTACCTTTTTCACCTGAAAATCAGGCTTGTTTACGCGAATGAAAGAAAAAAGACTTGTAATTTCTCTTTTGCTCTTTCAAAATGCCGCGGGGCAATTAAAACCGCGTATAAATATACCTATATACATAACACAACGAGAGAAGTCGCGCGAGTTATGTTTTAATCCTTAGACCGGCTTAATACCGAGCAGAGCGCTATACGCGCGGCCAAGTGTAATAACGCGAGCGTCGTCGTTTCTCGTCTTCGTGCGCTCCTTTTTCCCGAAATTCAAAGAAAAGCCTTAAAAAAGGCTTTTTTATACACGGAGGATTGCGCTGCAGCAGCAGCAGCAGCAGCAAAGGTGGATATATATTTATAGAGGTGGCGGTTGAATATCGATTGCTCGTGTAAAACTAGATATATAAGGCAAAAGTTCTCTTTCCTGGCTACCGCTGCTGCTGCGACTACACGGGATGCCAGCCAAAAAAACCCGCCCGAGTCCCGAGTATATGCGCTATAAGCGGCCGAGCCTTCCAAGTGCACATATACCTATATCGTACTTTCTGTGTACAGCTGAATTTCATCAAACGTTTCGGAGTTGTACCGGTGTGTTTGTCTCATATACGGTACCGTGAAAAATAGGGAGAAAAAAAACAGGAAAAAGTCACGGGGCGATTTCGCAAAAGTTGCTCAGTCACCTCTGCACTCTATATCTATATATTGGGGAGTGGAGCTTCGGAGCAACGAAAAGCGCCGCTGCGCTGCTGCCTAAGCGCGAGAGTGTTAATTAATTATCGATAAAATTAGGAGCTGCGAGGCTTTGCCGATAACTGCTGACATTCTTAATTAAAATTATGTACGCGATGTACGACGAGGCTGTTGGACACATTGAATGCATTTACCCCGGTACCTCCTATAGATCGGGTCGCGCGCTTTCTATATATATGCGTGTGCCGCGCGTATACACATACCCACGATGGCGAGAGCTCGTATATACATATTAATTGCCCCGTGGCATTTTATGCACTCGCGAGTTTGCGATCTCGCCGCCGCCGCACACGCGCGAGAGCTCGTGCTGTATGCGTGTGACTCAAATATAATCTGCAGTGGATCGAAAGGGATCACATTGCGTCGTCCGCTGATACGCAAGATTAATACGGCGTGAAATTTAGTTTCACGCTTATTATACACGTATACGCGCGCGCGCGCTTCAAAATCGAATTTCAATGAGGAACATTATACAGCCACGAGCGTCGCGCGCCAAACAGCAGCCTCCGTTCTGTTCGTGGTTTTTCGACGCAATTGCATAACGTCGAAGAAAAAAAAGGAGCTATGCGGACGCGCGCGCGAGAAGTTTTGAGATGAGTGACATCGATAACGCGAGCCGGACTGCGCAGTAACAGCGGGATTACACGAGACAGCAGTTTATGAAACTATTCATCTCCCGCTGGTCTCTTTTCTCTCTCGCTCTCTCTCCTCTCTCATATACATTATTGATCGTTTTAGCCGCTGGAGGCAAGTAGAGAGGCGAGACTCTTCTTCTCTTTCCTTCTCGCGCGCTACTCGCGAGACAAGCAAAATCGTCCGCGATATATTTTGCTCGATGCCGCCGCTGCCGCGCGCGCTGTCCTGCCTCCTGCAATATAGCATGCAGGCGCGCTCTTTACAAGAGAAATAAAGTCGTTTAGCTCGTGTATGTGTATGTAGTATATACGCGTGTCTGTGTGTGTGTCTTCAAGTCAGAAGTAGAAAACTTACAGTTGTTGCGGGCTATTATGAACGAAATTGCCGTTAAAAAGAAGAAGGAAAAAAAATGCGCGCGAGCTCGATAGCAGCAGCAAGCAAGCAAGAAGCGCCGGGTCCTACGGTCTTTTCCGTTGATTCATTGCTCTTGCAATTCTGTTTCTGCTGTAGCTGCTGCTGCTGCCGCTGCTATATACGTATATTATAGAAAAGATGTGTATAGCAATGACGGGGAGATGCTCCAGGACAGAGAAAGAGAGACGCAACTGCACGAGGGTATATATATTGCATATAAATAGGGCTCGTAAATGGCGCATATTACGGAATACACGAAGCGCACCGTGCGCAAACGTTTTGTTACTCTCGTCGTGCTATTCCTGCAGCTTCTCTTTCGATGTGTTTGTTTACACGTGTATATAAACGTGAGTGTGAGCGAGAGAGAGATAGAGAAAATGACAAGAGCAGCCATTGCTGTATATATATTGCGAGCGTGACGAGTATACATAAAAGTATTGATTGACTGCACGCTACAGTGCTCCGCGACGAGAGAGAGAGAATAATGACGATGATGATGCTGATTCAAGAGGCTGTGCTGTAGCACACCACCTCCGATGATGATGATCGTATTCAAGCTTTATTTTCGTTTCGAGTGTATTATATGTTTTAATTTTCATTGAATTTTGGGATTACTTACTGTGTGTTGTAATGAAAGTTATTTGAAGAGAATGGAAAAAAAAAACAAAACAAACAAACAAACTAACAAGTATACCAGGAATATTTTTTATCAGTTGCTCGTAGCACAGTGTAGTCAAGTGTTCTTGTTCTTCCTACTTGCACCTACAGACATGTGACGTTATGCCCCATTCATTAAAATAATATCAAACGACAAATGGCGTCGTTTTTCCACTATCACATATGGCCTTTTTTCTTCTCGCTATCTGCTGCATATTACTTTTCCCGAATCGTAACAATAACTCTCGCGCTCGAGCGTTAACAAAAAAAAAATGAATAAACGACCGAAAAAAAAGGTGTCATTTAGGCGGAATCGATTTGTTGACTTTTCTCACGAGCGTTTTATTTTCTACGAAATATGTGCGTGAAGTGGATTGATTCGCGAAGTAAAGAAATGACGAAGCGAAGAGAATTAATTCATGTCGCTCGTATCCATGGACGAATCGTCCATTTGTGCGTTTTATATATGCCGTGGTGGATGTGTAACACGAACACGTAGAGAGCGATAAGTTGCCCGCGCGTCCTATAGATATATATCCATTTCCACAGGGCAAGAAGCGCTGTGGCGGCCGCCGCCGCCGCTCTGTTGCTGGCATTTGTATCGAATTCGCCTCTCTATCTTCGTGCTGATACGGAGGGTGTGCTAGCGAGAGTCTATGACTCGAGTGAAATATATCAGAGCTGTTTACGTGATACTCGAGGAGCCTTGGCAAGGCATGCGCAAGAGAGAAAAAAAAGGACGACGAGGAGCGAGGCAGTAAGAGAACCAAAAGAGAGCGAGAGAGAAAGAGGAAAAAGTTTTTTGGCCATAATGTCTGACTGAGATAGCGTGAAATTGTCTGCTATGTGACGAAGGTGCTACCGACGCCGCCGTCGAGCTGCTAGCTCGAGAGTTAGGTAATATATTCGCCTGCAGATGAAATGGTACTTTTGATTAAATTCATCAGGGAGCGGAAATTTTTATTTTTCCAGACATCGGATTTCCATTGACACTTACACAATCACATTATTACGTCGCCGCGCAGTTTGAGATCTTTATAATTCATACGGACAATTAATTGTCCCAGATAGCAATAATAAGAATTCAATGGGTCGTTAAATTAAATTTCTGCAGTTATATATCTCTAAAACGCGCGTCAATCGACGCTATTATCAGAACTTTCTATGTTTACGTACAGTAATATATATAGCATAGATCGCGCGGTGGCGGCCGTCTTGAAACTTATGTACGCCAATCTTCGTCGCGTGGCGGAAATTGAATTTCAACCGAATTACCATGACTTCCTTGAATATATGTACTTGGATTGATTCGCGCGCATATTTTTCTGGGAGTTTGAGCAATTTACAACAATCATCACGGCTGTTTGTACTATTATACACGTGTATTACGTTCAATCGTTTTTGCCCTGAACAAATTAGAAACGAAGAAGCTGCTGCTGCTATCGGAAAAAATTGATGATGCGGTCGAGGAAGGAAACAAAAAAATCACGTAATAAA